TCCAGATCTATGCAGTGTGGGTTGGTTGCTCCACTTGGCATGGTGGGAGCTAGCTGTGCTGTGGCATTCCTGTGAATCTCGTTTGAAGGCTGGGGCAGCGGGAGGTACAAGGCCATCCTGGGCTATACAGTATATCTCAAAAAAAGGCTGGAAAAATGGCTTCACAGTTAGGGCTTGCTGCTCTAGCAGAGGACCTGAGTTTGGTTTCTGACACTCACACAGAATGGCGAACAACCACCTGCCTCCAGGTTCCTGCCTTGACTTGCCCTGATGATGGACTGTGACCCAAATAGACCCTTTCCTCCCTAAGTGTACTTTTGATCATTGTGCTTATCACAGTAATAGTAACTACACCAGGACAGTGCCTAAGGTGAGGACTGCCCAGCTGACCTTGACCAGCATCACCAGAAATACAAGGTGGCCCTGAGTATCCACCAGATAAGACCCTCTACTCTCCCACAAGGACTCTTAATGGTTGGTGCCAGCACACAGGGGGTTTCTGGTGTGAATGAAGAGAAAAAAGTGTATCTCATTGAACACAGCAGACACTGGTGATCTGTAGGTATGTGCCTGTGTGTGTGTGTGTGTGTGTGTGTGTGTGTGTGTGTGTGTGTGTATGTGTGTGTGTGTGTGTGTTCAGCACTCTGTCCTGGAGTTATTTACCAACCCCAGGCTCTCTACCTGGCTCCTCACTGTTCACCCTATCAGTTGTCACCCTTGGTCCCTTAATGCCTGCACTTCTATGTCATGAATGCACATCCCTTTCACCCCACATCTGTCCTGAGGGTCCATGTGCAGGTAAGGGGCCTACAAGTCCTCCTGACTTGTAGTGTAATACCCGTGCCTGAGACCCCCAGCAAGACTGCCAAGGAGCCAACTTTCACTCCGCCTCTCCCCCTTGTGGGCTTGGATGCTGGGACAGACTCGGGTGGAAGAACAGCGTGGGACTGTGCCTTGGTGTTCCAGGACACTACGAGAAATCATAGTGAATCTTCCTCCCTAATAAATTCCTTTACCCTTTAAGCAGACTCCGTGGATTTCTCATAATATCCTCCACTTCTTCTACAGGGTCTGAACATCTACCCTATTGTCCAAATCTCCAGGAGTGAGGGCAGGAGCTTGTCAGGTCTTATAGCATAGTATGGGTCTGAGGGCCCCACAGAACCTCCACCCTCAATGATGACCATGGGCCAGGGAGACACCACTGTCTACCACGGGTGTTCTGCTGCCACTGTGTCATGAATTCCCAACACTGAAGATGGACAAGTCCTTATAGTCCTTACAGCATGGTTCTGTGGGTCAGGGGCAGGCTCTGGCAGCCTGTGGCTGTGGTGTGAGGTTTTGGTGTCAGCAGCTGCAGGTCACCAGAAGTTCTCTGTCACACACTCCATGGAGAATCCTCGGACCACTTCAGGACACCTGCTCTCTTGGGAAGCCTGGGAGATGTTCAGCCTGACATCCAGGAAGTAAACAAAGTAGCACCAGCCTTGGCCATTAGCCTCTCCTGGGTATATTAAGGATAGTCATAGCCAGGGCAGTCCAGGAGGTGAGGACACATAGAGGGAGCCCTGGAAAGCAGCTCCTGAGTGGATGAAGAGTGTCACCTGGGGTCAGGGGTCAGGGTGGGTAGGGCTGTCTTGGAGACATGCCAGGGTGGTACTGTGAGAGGAAGGACCAGGAAGCAAGGAGGGTGGTCTGATGGCGGCAGGGCTGGACAGCCTGAGAGGCAGAGAGCTGATGTGGTGTTCATGGAATTGGTGGGTTTTGTTTGTTTGATTTTTGAGACAGGGTCTCACTGTGCAGCTCTGGTTGACCTAGACCTGGCTATGTAGACCAGGCAAGCCTCCACCTCACAGAGATCTGCATGCTTCTGCCTTCCCAGAGTTGAGGAATGCACCACTACTGGCTGAGAGGATGAGAAGGTTGCAGCCATTTAGAGAAGGGTCAGACTGGGGGCAGCAGGCCCTTGGAAACCCACCAGAGGTTTGCAGCCCCGAGACCCAGACAATTAAGGGTCACATAAAAGCAAGTTCCTGACATTTCCTGCCATAACATAAATGATATGATGGATTATATACCACAGTTGTCAGAGGGAACAAGTTTCCTGCAGATAACAAATCAGATGTCTTATTGTCAGAGGAAATGGGTCTGCTGATGATATAGATTGTTAGAGGATATGGCCATTCATTTCCTTGCAGCTGCAACTCTCCAGTCAATTCAAACCAAGCATGTCTAGACTAAAGCTGCTGCATCAGAAGGATGCAGAGACCCAGGTTTAAACTCATAAATAAAAAGACTCTGCTTTTGCATTCAGATTGGTCTCTTGGTGTTCTTGGGGGACTCTGGTTATAACATTTTGGGGGCCCACAAGCATCATATTAAGGGATAAACAGGTTTCAAACATAATTTGAAATGACTGTTCTTAAATAACTGCTTATATTTCTAATAAATAATAAATTTGAAGGATCTAAAAAATATAAAGAGATGAGGACGATATACAAAAGATATTATGACATTTCTTTCCTTTGCCATACTGTCATTGCATTAAAACTACAAAGTTCAGAAATTTAACATAATAGAATTCTGATAAGCTAATAGAGCAATGATTGCTTAATGTTTAGATTCCAGCACAAGATTTTAGATTTCTTGTGGTTATCTTATGAATATAGACTTACAGATGCTTTTTCATTAGACCAAAGACATTTAAATCCAATTTATAGCTGGGTCTCTGGACAGAATGAAAATATATATTTTTTAACACAAATCTATAGTTTTTGCTAGGACTCAAAGATATGAGTCTACTCCTGCTATTTTACAGATATCATTTACCTGTTTTTCCTACAATATGGATTTCACTACTGATTGATAATACTAATATATTTAAAACTTTTGTGTCCTTTTATAAGATTAGAATTCACATAAGCCTCTGAGGATCAAAAGAAGCCATTGGATCCACTTTGCAGAGGTCAGAAGGACTCCAGGTATGTACAACAGTACACCTTGAGTTTTCAAACTCCTTCCCTTCCTAATTACTAAACCTGTGAGCTTAAAATTCCAAATAAGTTCATAAATTTTAACTATTGAAATGCAATTCAACAAATGACATTTAACACAGTGACAAGTCTGCACAATATTGATCAGGAAAATTCCATAACAGGACAGAAGAAGGCACAGCACTTCCATTCCTGCTCTGGAAGAATATGAAAGGTCTAGAAATGGACAGCTCCTGTCTGGCCTAGAGGAACATGAAGGGTACACCCTGTGGGAAGAAGTGGCATCCTCATGCCAAGCAAAGGAAGAACTGATGTCTGGAAGGTGAAGGGGGGTGGGGCTAAAGAAACAAGTCACAGACGACCAAAAGTAATGAGAAAAGCTGGAATTCATATTGGGGCTATAGCACCAGAAAGTTTGCATAGTATGTAACCAAGTTTTAACATCACAGAGGGTTTAGCAGCCATTTGATACATGTAAAAAGAACTATGGCAATTTCTCTCTCTCTCTCTCTCTCTCTCTCATTAGTGTTTCAAGAGAGGCAGACATGTGATGTTGAGTGCTTGGGATTGTTGCTAGTGAACTAAGAAAGTGAGTTTTTCTTGTTACTAGCTTAAACTAAAAATTAAAATAGTCATGAATGGCTACTAAAGGTCTGGTTGAATAGTTCAAATCTAAATCTTTTGCTCTAGTTTCTAGCAACTTGATCTCTGAGTTTCTGAGAAACACATCTTCAAGTCCACCCATTTTTATGGAGTTACTTAATCTTATTCTTCTACTAGTTTCTGCTTTCCATACTACAAAGCTGCATTAAGTGCAAAAAGGTAATGTTTCTTCATCAGGTTGGGTGGTGATGGGAACAATCTGGCTGGCTGTGGCACAGTGGAATCTGTTGGGAGGACAGCATTTCACAGACTAGAGAGCTGAGGCCAGAATGAGGCCAGCACTGCCCCTCACTGTCACTGCTGTGTCCTCTTCTGAGTGGCAGAAAGGAGAGGATGCCCGACCCAACCCTGGAACAGTGGGATATGGATGCAGGAAAAGAGGCTGGGCTTTGAGTATCAGCACACTAGCCAGGAGAAGGAGCAGGAGGCTGAAGCCCATGTCAGAACTTTTCAATCCAGGTAGTCAACCACACTTGCCTGAGACCTCTGAACTGATTCCTGGTCATCACTGTATGTTCACACCTTCTTGGATGATGCCCAATCTCGTTGATTGAAGTCACCGATCATTTTCCCCTGATCAATGGATTCGCTCAACCCTAATCATCATTTCTGGTGTCTTTGGGTTTCCTGAATGCACTTTTGTTGTTAACATCCTTGCTCCTCCACAGCAGAAACCCAGATCTGGAAGTTTTCTCTTGAATCAGACTGCTGGGCCATCACATACAGTAGAAGGCCAGACTCTTTGCAAGGACAAGCACCTCATCCAAAGTGCCACAGTCTGTCAGGTTGTAGTGAAGTAGTATTTCCAGGGTTTTTGCCTCAGGATAAGGCCCTGGCATTGTTCCCTGCAAAATGGACACATGGGCCATAGGGGAACCAAGATGAACCTTAGTTGGACTGCTGTGCCTCCTCAAGGGTGCACTGCTGCGTTGGCCCCACAGGATCACCGCACTGGCCATCTGTGTTTGATAATGGATGCATTCTGGAGTAGGTATGCGTGTGTGTGTGTGTGTGTGTGTGTGTGTGTGTGTGTGTGTGTGTGTGTGTGAATAATCCACTCTTGCCACATACTGTTATAGGTGCTGGGAGCATCAGTGAGAACAAACAGGAACCTCTTCAGAGAAGGTAACGTTCTAGGCATGAGGTATGATACTTCTTGAGCTGGGCAAACTTGGTTAGCAGCTATGATGACTCAGAGGTTAAGAGCACTTGCTAACCTTGCAGAGAGCTGAGGTTCAATATTCACCACCACCACATGGTTGCTCACAGCTTCCTGTATCTCCAGCTGCAGGATGCCTGATGCCCTTTTCTACCCCCACCAGGCACTACAGGTATTTGAACACATGTGTTTTAGAGGAATATCAAGAGTAGACACCCGCCGGGAGGTGGTGGCGCACGCCTTTAATCCCAGCACTCGGGAGGCAGAGCCCGGTGGATCTCTGTGAGTTCGAGGCCAGCCTGGACTATCAAGTGAGTTCCAGGAAAGGCGCAAAGCTACACAGAGAAACCCTGTCTCAAAAAACAAAACAAAAAAACAACAAAAGAAATGAGTAGACACCCAAAGGAAGGAAAATAGAGACTCAGGCATGTGTCTGCATACCTCATTCACAGTGGCATTTCACTACAGCTAAGACTTGGGTCCACCAAAGGGTCAGAGGATACGATGGGGCTGTCCAAGCAAGGGTGGTAACTAAGCTTTAAGAAGTAAGGGAGAACTGACACATGATAGTGTATGTGCATCATGCTGAGAAAAATAAGCCAGTCCACGACAGTGTGGTGACCCACAGTCTGAAGTCTCCAGAACCAAGAGTTCACATAGAGACAGAGCAACATGGTGGGCACCGACAGTCGTAGGGGAGGGTTAGTGCTGGATTGGGACCAACTTTTGTTGGGGAAGATGGGAATGTTTTGAAAATTTGTATTATTTTAGATGGGAGCTCATGTAGCCCTGCATGGCCTTTGAAAACCTGATCCTCCTGTCTCTATATTCTGAGTGCTAGGTATGCACACCACACCTGTCTGGGAAGTTCTGGACCCAGCTGGTAGGGGCAGTTTTTGGGCACTGGAAATGAGCTTTACATCACTTGTGGCTAAATAACTTCAACAGTAGAAAGATTAATGATAGAAATTAATGCTTAAAATGTTTGCAGAATGGGAGACAAGTTTACAAGATATGTAAAGATCCAGAACACAAAACTAGAATGAGAATGATAGGGCCTGATGTGGCGGCGCATGCCTTTGAACCCAGCACTGAGAAGGCAGAGCCAGGCAGATCTCTGTGCGTTTGAGGCCAACCTGGTTTACACAGTGAGTTCCAGACCTGCCAGCGATACACAACTGTGCCTACACTGTTAATTACATGTGCCATTTCTATGTCTTTATGTCTGAGCCAAGATGTAATTTCAATTATAAAGTAAAAACATATATGTAGGGCTTCAGATGTAGCTCAGGCTGGAGTGCTTACCTACCACTCCTGAGTCCAACCCTCTGGTGTACAACAGTTTCCTCTGAGACTGAAATATTCCATCCCCCAGGGAAGCTCCTAAAGCAGGAAGGTAAACACCTTAAATGTATCCAGAAAGGCCCCAAACTGACCAGATTCACTAGGTCTTTCCTGCCAGAGTAAACAGTAAAAGCTGAGAGTGCCTGTGAGGGGCAGGACCAAGCTGGGAAGAAGAGGCTGAGACCAGACCAGCTAATGAAAAAACAGAACCCCCAACAGCTGCCTGGAAGAGACTTTGTTGAGGTCCAAGGAAACGCTGAAGGAAGACCCCAGACTCAAATAGTGTGTATTACAATACCAGCATACACCTGGGCATTCACCTGGACACCATGGCCGAGATCCGATAGGAGCATGCAGGTTAAGCATAGCTAGGGGATTTGAGGCACGGTTAGGTCATCTCAAACATTATTGGTTAGGCAAGCAGCAGTGACATTAGCATACTTTTAACTGGCTGAGGTTTTCTCTCTCACAACTTTGGGTGAGATTCAAGGGGTTGCAGGAACTGTCCTTGAGACATTGTGGGGCTGACTCAGGCTTCTTTGTGCTCTCTCCCTCATCCCTGAAGGTCATTTGTTGATAAATGGAGCTTTGTTGGAAGAGACATCTGTTGGCTTCTTTCAGAGAACTGAAACCTAAATTCAGTTATTGAAGTGGGAAAGTTTAAACCTTTCAGTTTAGACCAACTGAGGCACCCAGAAAAGACAGTGTCCAACCTGCTGAGCTGCCTTCAGGCTGTGCAGTGTCTCCAGGTTCCCAGCTCTGTGAGCTGTCACCATGCTGGGGTGGGCTTGGGTGACGCAGCGGTCTTTGAGTCATTTCTGCTCCTGTGAGTGACCTCTCACCCACATTCCTGTAATAACCCAATAAAACTCACTGGTTCTCAAGGTTGGACTTCGGTGGTATCTGTACTTCGGTCTGTCATGGACTCCCTATCTGGGGTAAGTAAATGTGTGTGGTGTCTCCCCATGAAAAGTTTTGTCACATAACACTCTCAGCATCACACATACACACAAAAGTAGAACAACACGCCAGGCAGAACAGTGTTTCACTGGGAAATGTGACTCTGCATCTTTTCTGGGAAGGGCCATTTTACTTTACAAACATCCTGATACTTTGATATGTTTCAAGCACTTAACACTTCTGTCATTTAAATAATAAGAGTATTGTGAGCCACTGAGGCCTGGGAAAGTACATTCCTCCAGGACTAAAGGCTGCCTATGAAATACAGTGGATGGTCCTTGGCATTCAGTAAGCATGTCGTCATCCTCCTATTCCTGCCTGCTCCAACTTAGATTGGGTTCTTGAAGGTGGGAACCTGAGGCCAATGGGGAAAATGGGTAAGGTAACTCAGCTCCTGGAGGACAGAATGAGATGACCATGGTAGGGTTGCTCCATGGAGATGGAGCCCCCTGCCAGCTGCTGACCCAGCCCATCTGTCCTACCAGTTCAGTGCACACGAGGACACCCCAGAGGACTCTGGGAAAATGCTGCACTCCCTTTCCCCTATCTCCTTTCAGCCTCTGACTCTGAAAGGGCCCTTTGTGACATCAACACAAGGTCACACACATTGTAGAGACTGGCCAGGAGAGCTTAAGGAGGAAGAGGACACAGAGCTCTGGTCAGACCACCATGGCAAGGAGCACCTGAAGTGAGTAAGTGAGAGCCACCAGACTGGCCCTGAGCCAGCCCTCATCACAAGAGGAACAGTTAACACAGAAATCAGAAGGATGATAAGTGTGACAATTGAGTTCTTGTAGACACCTCTCCCATCCTTAGGGGTGGGTGGGTTATTGCAGGCCTACTGGGTCAATCTACCCAGTCCCTTCTACCTAAGAACAGCTATGACCAATTGCTGGGTGTGCAGTCAAACGCTTCCCAGGAAATCAATGAAACCTATTGCAAACTGCCTTTGAGCTGGCACCACAAAGAGAATCCTGTAAACAGAGATGAGGCAGAGAAGTTCAGAGAGGTGTCTGAGTCAGATGCTAAAAGTGATAGTCCGAAGCATCAGTAGAATTACAGCCATAGCAAAAAGATCTGAGCAGGATGCCTCATCACCCCACACTCACTGCCCCTGACCATAATCCTAGTTACAGAGAGAACCATGAACACCTCCTCCCAAAGGGAAAGGTTAATCACACAAACAACTTCATGTATTCTTCTCCTGAGACTCAAATGGTGCAACCCCCTAGAACCAAAATAGCCAGCTAGCTCAGTCCAGATACCCCAAACTAGGGCCTTCTCTCATGGGCTTCAGTAAGTTTCAGACATTCATGATGGCTTTCCTATTCTCTGATATCCTGGGGTATGGTGGGGGCAAGCTGCATCATCTTCTTTTCTACTTCCTCTTGTGTGTTGAATCTGTCTTCAATTAGACCTACAAACAATAAAAATAGTGAAGTTCAGTCTCAAACCCCGGACAAATGGCTGAGGTGCCCATTTGACATATCCAAGCAGATGCTACCATCAGATTCTCCCTGCCTCCTTCAGTCCCTAGCTGTTACAGGGTATGGTTGTCATACCCTCCTGCATACTCTAAACTTCTCTAGCCCAGGAACTGGACGGACATTCCCCCAGATGACCTTCCCTATATAGTCCCCTCATTTACTTACTCCTCTTTTAGGCCTTCTGGCTCTGCATCTGGTTCCCTGCTCTTCCTCTCTCTCCCCACCTCTCCCTCCTCACATGGCCAGGATGAGGGTCAGTCCACCCTGGACTCTCTCATATGTACCTGCCCCTGGCTATGCTCTTCATTTTTAGCTCCAATAAACTCTCTCCTCCACCATACCTAGGAACGGTCAAGTCCTTCCTTTTTTATGGATCTTTTTCGTTCTGGCGCAAGGTCACAAAAACACAATGTGGAGACTGGCCAGGAGAGCATATGGAAAAGGACACAGAGCTCTGGTCAGTGAGTGTCCATGGCAAGATTGTCCATGGAAAGTGCACCTGAAGTGAAGTAAGCAAGTGAGAATCACGCAGCCCAGCCCTGGCCAGCCACCATCACAAGGGGCCACAGTTAACTTATGATTAAGGGTGATAAAAGTAGCAATTGAGTTCATTTAGACACCTCTCCTATCCTTAAGGGCGTGGTGTGTTACTGCAGGCCCACTGTGTGGCTGGCACAATCCACAGACACACTCAGGAGCTTGTGGCCTCCATGCCCAGCACCAACCATTTCCCACAGGAAGGAAAACCAGGGCCAGGTCTTTAGGTAGTTGTTGTGAAAGAGTTAAACGTGAGAAAGAGGAATGAGTACCAGTCCCAGGCCCCCAAACCATTAGGATCAGCACAAATATTCTTGTGATATTTCTTGTGGCATCCTGTAGCCTCAGGAGAATAATCTTGTGACATTATCTGGGTCTAGCAGAACATCCTGTGGCCATGCTAGGAAGAAAAGCAGCCCCCATGGAATGTCCCCATAGCTGTACTCCCCCTCCCCGGTGCTGATCTTTAAACTAGCCAATTATGTATTGCCCCAATGCTATGCTAATTTTGTGGGTTTTGCCTTTAAAAGATGCCTGCAATTACTGTTCGGGGCTCCTCTCACTGAATAGTGCAGAGGGCCCATTTGTGCAAATGATCAAATAAAGTCTCTTGCTGATTGCATCAGCTGGTCTGGAGTCTGGGTTTCTGGGGCGCCCACCCGAGATGGTAGTGCCCTGAGTCTGGGGTTTTTCAGTTGATTTCTGTAATCGGCACCCCCCTGTCATCCTCATGTCCTACCTGTTCTTCCCATGTCCAGGATTCTCCAGGATGACCATCACCTCACAGGCTCTCCTGCTCAACTCCCAACTCTCCCACTTCTCCTTACCCATTAATTGAACAGTGGGTGATTGTCAGCTGTCCCAGACCCAGGTTCCCATTGTTGGTTACTCACTCTGCTGCAGGGGTGGCTTTCTCTGCTGCATAGAGACTCCCCTTGGAGGCCCTACCCCTGAGACCTCTGACCACTAGGCTCCACCTCCAGACTACTGTGGTGGCCGGGCCTGGTCCCTTGAGGCACATTGAGCCCTCCCCCAGCTTCACAGTCAGACCCCATCCCCAACAATTCCCTAATACGCACTCTACCCACTGAACCATATCTCCAAGCTCCCTCCACCAATTTTTTTGAATCAGCAGATGAACAAGATAACATTTTCCACTGGGATGCCTATAACTAGAAGACACAGACAAGACTACACACTGGGGCTAGAAAGCTGGTTCAGCATTTAAGAGCACATGTTGCTCTTCTACAGGAACCAGGTTTGACACATAGAACCACGTTAGATCAAGACTGTGTTTAGCTCCAGTCACAGGGAATCCAAAGCTCTCTTCTGACCTTCATGAGCAACAGGCATAAACACATATGCAGGCAAAACACTCATGTGCATAAAATAATAAAATAAATAAATCTAAAAATATTTTAAATAATAATGACCACCAACTATTAATATGATGTTATCTAGATAAAAAGATGTAGTTGCTTTAAGAAGTAGCCAACCACTTTCCAAAAGAGTAGAACACAGAACTATAGCGTGACCCAGCAATTCTATCAGAGATATATTCCCAATAGAAGCTAGTTTACAAATGTCTATAGCCTTAGTCATCATAATGAAACAGTAAAAATAACCCAAATGTTCATCAAATGATGAAAAAATAAAATGGAGTCCATCCACACAGTGGACGAGTGCCCCCATAAAATGAAATGAAGTTCTGGTTCACACCAAAGGATGGTTGGGCCCTGAAAACCCTGTAAGAGGGAGAAGGCAACAAAAGGCCACAAATGTGTGGCCCCATTTCTGTGAGATATTCACAATATGCAAACATATAAAGCAGAGCTGTAGCTGCCCAGAATAAGGGACCCAAGTGCAGACCCCAGCACCCACATCAGACAACACACAAATGCCTTTAACTCCAGCTCCAGGGGATTCAATATCTTCTACTGGCCTCTGTGGGCACCACCCCCATCCCCCACCCACACATAGCAAACACACAGACAGACACACACATACACATAAATAAATAAATAAATCTTTCTAAGTATTGTAAATTAAAGACATTTTAGATAGCAAAAACTGTTCAATTAAGAAGTCTTACCTTTTCCTTTTCTTCTGGGCCCTCAGTTTGCTGTACATCTCTAGGACTTGATAAGGAAAACAGATCACACAGGCATTATTAGACAAAATAATCAACTAAGCTTAAGGAATTACATCAAGAATCCTACTCCCTTTCCATTTCCTCACCTGGAAGACACAGCATTAAACTCATCAGCAGTGGCAGAAATATTTCTCTGTTGCTGCAGCTCTTCCATTGATATTACCAGCTTGGCAAAAAGAAAACAATAGAATTACACCAAGAGCTGTAAATAAAAAGCTTTCAGTTACATTTTTCCATCCTGCATTTGATTCATCCAAGAATCCCAGTTTCCTGGTAAGACTTTCCTGAACAGTCTTTTTCTTTTGGGCCAATATCCACCTCCCAAATCATGACCCAGAGACTTATTATTAGTTTAGAATGCTCGGCACAGCCATAAACACATAAGATAAGGTTATAATGATCCGTGGTATGCATAATTAGTATATGCTAATAAAAGCATTTAAAAAACAAAGGTCAGTGGTTCATGATGAGCAGCACCCAAATTTGACCTCTGGTCTACATACACATGCAGAGGAACCTACAAAAACATGCACCCACATGTGCATACAACCAACAAATAGAAATAAAACCTGTATGGCAGATACAGTGTAATGGCATATGCAAATAAATACAACAACCCAGGCCAGGGGAACACAAGCTTGCAGATATTCTCTCCTTCAGGGCTGCCACTGTCACACACGGTCTACTTTATTTTTTGGTGCTGTCTCTGAGTCCAGAGCCTCAGGGATATTTACCAAACCTTGAGTTTCTAAAAGTCCTCACAATGGTAAATATATGAGGTGATAGATATGACAACCACTCCCATTTGATCATTCCATTTTCTTCATCCATGTTGGACACACGCATGGAGATGTTATATTGGGCCACACGATACACACAACATACATCATTTAAACGTAAAAATGTAAAAACAGAATTTAAAACTGTATTTAATCATATATCCTTAGTACTGATAAATGTGTTAAGCAGATAAAGAACCATATTCTGAAACCTACAGGTATTAGTGAGAAATCCAAATGAATCATATGTCATATGCTTTGTTCTAAGGTTAAAAGATTAATTATTTAAATGTTAATTTTCAACATTCTAATTCCCTAAAGGCCATAAGACTTTTTTATATTTCTAGTTTAAATTTATTTATTGAATGTATGTGTTTATATATATATATATATACATGTATATATATATATAGGTGCATGGATGTCATGTGTGGCGGTCTGAGGACAACAGGTGGAATTTGATTCTCTCCTTCCACCTCTGAGTTTTAGGAATCTGACTCAGGACATCAAGCTTGGTGGAAGGTGCTTTACCTGCTGCCTTAGTTTCATTTCTATTCCTGTGATAAGACACTGGCACCAACACTACTTATAAAATAAACCATTTCAATCTGGGCTCATGGATCCATGACAACCATGGTGGGGAGCACGGCTGCAGGGAGGCATGTGCTGGAGCAGCAACTGAAAGCTTGTATCAACTTGGTTCACAGCAGAAGGCACAGAGAACCCACTGAGAAGGACAAGGGCTTTTGAAACCTCCAAGCCTGCTCCCAATGACACACCTTCTCCCAAAGGTCACACCTTCCCAAACAGCTGCACAACTAGGGACCAAGCATTGAGTCAGATGACCTGTGGGGACCATTCTCAAACCACCACACCTGCAGAGACACAGACTCCGGGTGGTTTAGTTGAGATTATGTTTACAGAATTCCTGTGGAGGCCTGGGAACAGCTTAGTGGGAGAGTACTTATCTAACAATCACACAGCCTAGGTTTAACCCCCAGCATGCACAAACAACAAGTCAGAGAAATGCAAAGACTAGCCAAAACTACTCCACTGCTTTAGCTGCCGAGTTTAAAAAGCCTGGTTTGTCCCCCATCTTAGGACATACAGGGTCACATCCTCCACACATTGATTGTCTGACTCCCCTACATCTCAGAAGTCAGATCGATTCCAGGGACAGCTGATAAGAACAAACCAGTCACTGGGAAGAAACACGTCCACAATATGCTCTGAAATCTGCATGGCAGAAGAGAGCTTTATCCTCCTCTTGTGTCCCCTCAACCGTCCCGGACCTGCAAAGGCACACTCTCCAACACGGCACAGGCCGTCTGCTGTGGAATAAATCCACAGCAGCTGCTATGCCCCTGCCTCAACCCCATGAGAGGAAATTCATTTTCCTGTCATCAAAAAGAGTCCCTTACCTCCCCTAAGAGGCTCTTCTCAATTCTGCCTTTCCCAACACTGCCTTAATCTGTATTATCAACCTTGTCCAACTGAGCTGGGAAACCTGGGGGGCAGCAAGAAGGAGAAAAGGTCAGTATACAAGGAAGCGTGCAGGACTGTATACAGACCAATGCTTCCTTAAATCTAAGTGCTACTTGCAGGCATGAGTATTTAACTAGAAGTCACTGCAACGAAGAACTTCACAGACCTCTCACTGAGGCTCACTAACTTCAAGAGAACCCATTCTGACCAAGAGAAAACTGAAAACAAATTTTCCCGACAGAGGGAGTTCTACCTCTTCCTCTCTGGACCCGAGAAGCAGTTGTTGACATTTTCTCTCCGGGGAACTGACTCCTTGTGCATTTCTCCTCCTCCTGCTTCTCTCTCGCAATACCCTTGCTCCTCTGACCAACACTAGCATCTTTCATCTTCACAGGGGACAGCATACCCTTAACAAAGTCACTTGGGACTGATCTAACCTCCCGGGAGGAGGCAGGCACACCTCCAAACCCCTGGTTGTCCACAATTGCTCATCTACAATCAGGAGCAGCTGTTTTTCATTTGATGTTTTACGCTTCACAAGATTTAGACAACAGGCAACATGATTTTTTCATCTCTAAAACCATGTGATGTATCTCCAGTTCCTCTACTCTCAGGTCTCTTGAAAACCTGACCTAATCAATAGAGGTTTACAGAGAATAGCCACAAACCCAGCAGGAAAAACATCAAGCATCGGGGCTATTTAGGCATGGAGTAATCACATCCAAGGGATGAAATGTCTACTGAGTTGATGTTCAATATTGCTAGCTCATTTAATATTTTCTCTTTCATGAAACTGGTTTAAAAGGAAAGGCCACAGATTCCATTTCAAGTACATCCAGTTTTGAATTTAGAGACTTTCTAAAAATCCCAACACTGATCAACACAGCACACTTCCCCATGGTCACCAGACACTGCTCTGTTAACAAATCACAAGCATTCCTGAGCACAAGAAACAGACAAGGGAGCAATTACCAGGTAGCCTTGGAAGCATTAGTAATCTCTTTGATCAGAGGCTCACCCAGGGTGATGTCCATGGAGGCTTGCTTGGAAAAGTCTTTGGTGTCATCTGGGTGTCTGGCCAGCCCATGGTTTGTGTCCGGGGTTCACCCGCTTCAGAGCCTGTCTCCATGTGTGCCCTACAGGAAAAGGCACAGAAGGGAAATGATGCTCCAAAGAAAAGGCCAGCAAAGGTGCTGGAACAGACTTCTGGTTACCGCCTCTTAAAAGAAAATTAATATAGACTGTGTTCAGTCTAGGATGGAAAGAGCAGTGGGCCAGGCAGTGTTTGCCCGAGGAAGAAGTTGGCACAGGCTAGGAACCAGTGCCAACAGAAGAGTGAGATGGCCAAAGGAGCTTCCGGCTCACACGGAGAGTTCTGGCTGAAGTTACAGATGCCCTTTAGTGTGACTGATGTAGTGTGACTAAATTCTGTGTGGTCACTCTGTGGGGAGACAGGGAGACCAGCATTCCTGTTCCCCTATTAGAATTGTGTCTTCCCACTTCAAATAAATTAAGAAAAATATCTCTCACAGACATTTTTTGTAGTAGTTAATTCCTGATGTATTCAAGTTAACAACCAAGGATAGCCATCAGAGGGTGCATTAGTAAGAAAAATGAGAAGTGTCTGTTTGTACTACTTATGATCTTCAAAGCCTTGATTTCCCTGGTATCCTATCCAGGTCTTTGGAAAATTCTTTTATCCACACCTTGCTGTTCGTGTAGAGATCAACAATCTCCAGTGTGGCTTCAACTTCTGATCTCTACAAGATCCTACTCCAAATCAGGCTCTACTTTATTGAATTTAGACTTCAACATCTGAAAGACTCAGTCCATCCAGCACTCATGGAGTCTAGGTTCAGGGAGGGCACAGGAGCACACTTAGAGGAGCAAAGTTCTTAGTTCTGGAGTATTTGCACTCCATGCTGGTCATAGGCAACCTTCTGATCTGTAGGCACTGTCAGGAGGAACTGAAGGACCACACAGGCAGAAGAGAAGAGCCTGTCTTGTTCTATGAAGAGGCCATGCCTGGGGCATGGCCGCATGGTGGCCCCGGCAGCAACAGCCTGGCACAGGTGGTTTGGCGACCTCAAAGAGACAAAGGCCTGGCAGGTGGGACATAGGGGAGCTCATTTGAGAGAGGACTATCATTTGCATGAGCCCCAGGGTGACAACCTTCCCCAACTAAGGGGAAGCAGCAATATCATGGTCATTGGTGAGGGAGGGGTCAAAAGGAACAGGCAGAGAACGGACTGCCATGGAGATGAACGTGGTGGGTATGTGTGTGGCATGTACACATGCCCATCCCCCCCACACACACACATAACTGCAACAGTATGCATGTGAGAAAGGATAGGTACCTTGTGGAACTAGGAATGTGGAGGAAATAATGCAATTTATCGGAGGCATTGCAAGTAGGCAACCTCTGATGAGAGAGTCTGGTACAGCTAACCCTGAAAGAAAAGTGACAGTTTATTTCCAGATGGGGACAGAAGTCTCCAGAAACCCAGGTTAGTGGTGATACAAGAGCTAGAAGGACAATCGTCCTGCTCTGTCCCTCAGGCTGCCTCAGCTGGCCCACACGCCCTGGTCCCTCATGGGTGATCCCTTCTACCACCCAGCAGCCAGCAGTATCTAGCAACCAGAGTCTCCCCACCTCTCCCCTGGCTCCTGCAGATGCCCCCCACACTGAGGTCAGCAGGGACTGCAGCCAGATTGTCTCACACACCATCTACTCTCATCTTGGGTCCATTCCATGTGGCCCACTGCACATGATACCACCTGTCATCATCTTTGGTCACCACACTCATGATGATGCAAGCTGGGGACACTACAGCATCACATAGTGCACATGGTGGCCCTGGGGGCAAAGAAAGACCCAACACTAGACATCAGCACAGTTTGCCATCCAAATTAGGATTAAGAGCTATTGTAGAGGGTGGGGTTCTAGACAGGGACTTGTTGTCTTTTTGATCCTTTGGGGGCTGGGGAAGCCTGGGCATTGCATGTGCTAAGATCCAGAGCATCCTAGCCACATTTCCTGGTTCTAGAAAGCCTAGGTCCATCTCCAAATTCAGCACCTGCCTGAGTCCATTTTGGGAAAATAGGAACAAGGACCCTCTCCTGGTGGTTGACTGGAAAAGTCAGCTGAGATAAACAAAAGCAGGGGCCACAGCAGGTGCCCCAAAGAGCATAGCGATGTGGTGTCTTCTGTCACCATGTGTCCATCACTGACATGGCTTTCCATGTTTAGCTGGTGTCAGCCACCTCTTCGGAGGAAACATAATGGACTCCCCACACCCCAAGACTTCCTCCCAGTGTCACCAATTCTGCCCCAGCTATAACCCACGCCATCTGTCACTGTGAGGTCCTGCCTAATGGGAATGTCATCCTTTCCATGTAACAGGACAGTGGTTGTCCCTCCGAGGCACAAGGAGATCTCGACTCTGCTCTCGGGAGGCAGCCAAGCACTTGGCACAACGGGCTCTTGCTGGATTAGAGTTTGAACCCAACCTGCACAGGCCACTTCAGAGATGAGGGAAGGGGACCCACAGTTCATGGTCTCCTGTCAGGAAGGGAGTCAAGCCAGGAGTCCTGAGTCCCCACCTGACCCACACAGTCACCAGCTGGACTGGAGCGAGGGTTTTGCCCAACAAGAAGGTCAAAGTCAGAGCTTTGCACTTCTTGAGGAATCATGCTGGATACCTGTCTGCGGATGTAGCTCCACAGTGGAACACTTACCAAGCATGCATGCACAAGGATCTAAGTTCCATCCCCAGAATTGCAGGGCAGGAGACAGATACAAGTCAAAGTAGGGGCTGCATAAAACCAAAGGAGGAGCCTGGCAGTGGTTGTGTGCACCTTTAATTCCAGCCCTTGGGAGGCAGAGCCAGGCGGATCTCTGTGAGTTCGAGGCCAGCCTGGTCAGCAGAGTGAGATCCAGGAAAGGCACCAAAACTACACAGAGAAACCCTTTCTCAAAAAACAAAACAAACAAACAACCACAACAACAAAAAACAAAGGAGGAAAGAGGTGGGGAGTCTCCAGAGTCTCCCCATCATCTCCGGGGCCGCTAGAGCTCTTTCCTCCTCCTCTACTCTCCTCTGTATGAGCTGCTGTGTGGTTCTCCAGGCCCAGCTTACCCAGTTCCACTCCCAAGTGAGAGTTCCCACAGAACTCCTCCTGGTCTCTGAGTGCCCAGCAGGCCTCTCCAACATATCGGGGCTCGGAAGTGTGTAGGTTCCTCTTTCCCTGGTTTTGGCTCTGGACTCTGCCTCCCTGGCCTTCCTGGTTTCCTGAGACCCACTACTCCAGTTCACCTCAGCCAAGTCCTCTCCGCAGCTGCCTTCCAGCTCAGCAAGCTCACCAGCTTCTCCCACCCACACACCCACTCCTCTTCCCGCCCTGAACGGTGTCCCAGCGTTTCCCAGGCCGCGTCCCGCACTGGCATCACGGGTCCCCAGCACCAACATCGTGCGCATCCCCGACTGGCTCACCTAGACGTCCGACTCCCTTCTCTGCAGTCTTGGCCACGCTCCACTTCCGGACACCAGCTCCGTGAGGCTCCTCCAGGATGCACCTCAACAGTGGCACCTTACTTCTGGGTTTTCAAGGGATGATGGGCAGGACGCTAGCGCGACGGAGAGGCGGGGCATTTAAGGGCACGCCCCATCTGAGGGTCCTGTGCAGATGCCCCCTGAAAGGGAGTGCATTCCCTTCTGTGAAATCCATAGAGCTGGGAGAGGAGGGGCGCTGTGGTAACCATACCCCTCTTCCCGGCTGGCGACTCAAACATTTAGCTTGCTCTTAGAGGGATTAGAAGCCCGCCCAGGTTTGAGGGATTTATGAGGCCACGCCCACTCACACCACCCCTTGCCAGGAGCTCTGAGCTTTCCTTTGTGAGCTGCAAACAAAGAACACCCTCTTCTAGATTCTACTAGAAGTGGTACTTCCTCCTTCTTGTTAGGAGCACAGGAGCTACTAACTTCATAGCTCCAGGAGCCTGGAGGGGCTGCTCTCATCATTCCACCTGACTTTGTAGAAAATGAAGTTTCTTAGTTTCTCTGTGTAACAACCCAGCTGTCCCGGAACTTGCTTTGTGGACCAGGCAAGCTGGCCTCCAACTCATAGAGATCCCCCTGCCTCTGCCTCTGCCTCCTGAGTGCTGGACTAAAGGGGCATGCCACAATGCTTGGCAGTAACTTATATTCTACAAGGAGATTTATTGGGGCGAGCGAGCTGGCTCAACAGTGAAAAGCACAGGCTGCTCTTACCGAGGACCTGAGCTCTGCTCCCAGTACAAACATCTGGCAGCCCAACAGCTGCAATTCTGGCTCCAGAGGATCCACCACCTCTGGCCTGTACCAGCGCCTACACTTTTGCCTGACCAGTGAGACACCATTAGGATCATGAGATTGCTCATCAAGTAAAGCCTGATGACCTGAGTTCAGTCCACAGGGCCTACATGTAAGGAGAGAACCGACCCCGGTAAATTATCTTTGACCTCCACAGGTAAACTGCACATAACAAAATAATTTCTTTAAATTTGTTTTTCTAAGGTCTCTTTTAGAGTTCTTGTCCAAAGGCAAAAGCATTTCCCCTTCTCATTTGTCCACAGATGTCAGCTAGGTGCTGGAACTTTCTTCCAGGCTAGTAAAGAAGCAGCTTTGAAAAACCATTAAGTCTGGGAAGAGGCCCCAGGCACCCCCACCTGCAGCCAGTGGTACTTCAGTCCAGATGCCCTCAGGGACCACAGCCTCCTCCCAGGATAGGACTAAACACAATTCAGGCCTGACCCCTGAGTGTCTCCAGGCAGCCTGTCCTGCCACATTTCCCATCTGCCTTTCCAGGCCATTTGTATTTCCTCTAGCCTTGTTCATGTAGATGAAGGAAGTTCGGGTGAGGCAGTATTAGGAATAATTTTTGCACTTTCTTTTTCCACACTTTCCACTTGGGAGCTTCTGAGCATTGAGATTGAAGTAGCCAGTGACTGCCAGTCCTTCTCCCTACAATCACTTCCCCTGGGGCCTCAGACATAAGAGCCTCCTGTTAGGAGGCAAATGTTTGAGGAAACAGAAAACAAAAAAGGTCATTGGTTCCTGTCCATCAGCTCCCAGATCCCCCAGAGGAGAGCTTGCTTGCTTAGTGTAGCCAATATAGTAACAATCCCAAGTTTCCACCTTTATTGTCCTTACAAAATCACTCTCAACACACAAAGCTCAACTGAAAGTCCACCTCAGTATGATCCTGTGGCTTCAAGCTCTCTGGGGAATCCTGCCTCTGGTTGGCAGGACAGATGTGTGCAGCCCTGAAGTGTCAGTGAGGGACCACAGGGACACAAGCCAAAGGCATTGCCATGTCCACACATGTGTTAGGAGAGGCTACTGTGTGGAGAGGTCAGGAGGATGTGGACAGTGACATTACTGGGATTCACACAGTGTGAAGTGTCAAGGTATCATCAGAGAAATTCTGAAGACACTATGTCATGCAGGGCCAGCAAGCCTGCTCAGTGGGTAACAGTGTTGGCTGCCATACCTGATAACCTGAGTTTCATCCCTGGAATTCACATGCATATGGTGAAAGGTAGAACTGACTCCTGCAAGGTGTTCCCAAACCTTCATACTTGTCCTGTTTCTCTCTCTCTCTCTCTCATACACTCATACACACACTGAATAAATGCATATATAAATGAATGTAAAAAGAGTAATCAAAGGTAGAAGCCCTGAAAAAGTGAGGGGCTGGAGTATACCTCAGGTAGGCTTGCCTAGCATGTTGCAAGGACTCATATTTAATTCCAAGGATTGAAAAATAAACTGTAATTGAATCAAACATGCAGTCTTTCTTGTTACAATTTCCTAACATATACAGCATATCAGGCCAGGCTTGAGAGCACACTCCTTTAATCCCAGTGCTCCAGAGGCAGAGGCAGGTGGATCTCTCTGAACTTAGTGCCAGCCTGGTTGTCTACATAGTGAGTTCCAGGACAGCCAGGGATACATGGGGAGACTTTGTCTCAAAAAAAGTCACATTGTATGAAAGAAAAAGTATCTGGCCAGGACCTCCAAGACCAAGTTCTCAGTACAAAGGAGATTTCTTTGTCCCAGAGGGACAGAAGAGAGAGAATAAGGAACAAACACAAGGGATAGAAGACAAGAGAGAAGGGGAATGGGACCAGAGAAAGGGACAGGGATATTTGTCCCAGAGCGACAAAGGAATGCCTCTGGATAGAGGGGAGATAAAAGTGGCCCATTGGAAAATGGTAGTGAAAGGGAAAAATCAGTAGCCATCTAGAGAGATGCTCCCCTGCCTCCTCTAAAGGTATTTGCTGACCAGCAGTTTTAGAACTGACCAGAAGTTGAACTCATGGGAAGATAAGGCTGAAACAATAAATCTATATATCGTGGACTTGGTAAAACAGGATATGGGGAGTAATGGACTCAACTGACCAGAAATTGAACTTATGGGAAAATAGTACTGGAACAATAAATTTTAATGTATATCCTGGGTTCAGCAAAAGCAGGACATAGGGAATAAAAAATTTATGTCTCTGTAGATACCCTGAATCCTGTTAGCCATCAGTAACCTCATGCTTGTAGTTCAGCCAGTAACTACAAAGAACTACCTACCCCTATCCCCCTCAACCAATCCCAAGATATGTGCCTCTCTGGATGTAAACCTTTCCTATATAAACCCCTTCAAGTG